CTAGTCTGCTTTTAATACTTTCAAGGGAGATTCTGACTTCCTGTATTATAGCCTTCATCTCTAACGGTTCCATCTGATCCTTTTGTAAAGTGTGAAATTCCTCTTTTAGATCTTGCATGAATTTCCTCACCTCCTGAAACTCGTCAACTCCTTTCTCCTTCCTCTTCAGCAGTTCCTTGTCTCTCTTCTCTTCCATCTCTGTTAGCTTTGCCATAATGAATGTTCTGAATTCTTTATCAGACATTTCCATGATTTCCATTGAACTGTGTGTGGATGAAGAGGAGTTATCCTTTTCCCTTGTGGGAGAGGTATTTTCCTGCTTCCCCATATTCCTTGTGGTCCTGAAGCGATTTCTAGTCATCTGGTGGATGGTCGGTTTCTTCCCAAACTTGGAAGTCCAATCATGCGAGTTTTGTATGCTGTAGGCCGAATTATCAGTGGCAAGTCTTCATTTCTCGGTTTGCCCCCAAATGGCTAGATCGCAGGAGCCATGAAGGAAGGTGTCTCTTTGAGAAGGCCACATTTCTTGATAATGGTTGGTTAGTCCCAAATTTATTGGGTTGTTGGGAAAGTCAAGAAGCATTTTTGCATAGAAAGCCAGAAAAATACATCATGACTTTTCTCACAACCCAGTAATATAGATGACCACAGTTCAGTATCTGTTATAGAGATCAGACACAAAACCACATTCCAATAGCAAATTCCTTCTTATATAAGATAACTTAAAAAATGAAACAATTTTGGGCATGGAGGTTAAGGTGCTGGACCTCACATAGCCAAATGTGCAGTTCAAGTCCTGAAGCGGATGGCCTGAAAATCACGCCAGGCACATGTGTCGTGGCCCTCCCCAGGGGCGATTTCTCACCCCGCCTTTCCCTCCCCCATCTCTTTCTGCCAATTGCACACACCCTATAGCAAGAATTTTTAAAAAATTATAATCCTTGAGAACTCTTTTCAAAGAATAAGACACTTCAGTAGTATCATTTCAAAAATTAATATTGGCAGGAAAAATATAAAATTATTTTTAGAACACCTTTTTATACATAAATAACAGTAAAAGATGACAACATTTAAATCATTCAGAATTATTTTCAAAGAGTAAGGCATTTCGGTGTTACCAGTTTGTAAGTTACTGGCAGGAAAAATATAAAATCATTCTCTAAATTCATTAGAGGCATTCTTTAGGAACTTCTAGGCAACATTTAATCTGGTTTAAATTGCACTGGGATTATTATTTCCCTTCCTTTTGCCAATCAGAAGACAAACAAAAACAAAAAAACTCTACTAGGCGCCCAGCGTGAGTTTTAAGCCTTCAGGTCCAGGACTCCAACTGTGGTCAACTACATGGGAGTCCAGTGACGTAACCATTACACCATCTGCCAGTACCCCTTGAGTAAATCTTATTAACACCACTGCCCAATTATTAAGCCTCAGTCAGAAGGAGATGTAGGTCCCAGACCCTTACTGCATTGTATTCTGATTAATCAGAAAACTAGTTATTTTGCCTCTGGCTGATTATTATCTTAACTGCCAGAGAGAGAGAGAGACAGAGAAAGAGAAAGCACCCCCTAATCCTAATCCTGTCAGGACTTTAGGCACATAGACACATGTGCCCAGCATGTTTTTCAAGCTGGCAGAGCTGGGATTTGAACCATGGTCAGTCATGTAGGACTCAGCTCCCTTAACCACTATACAAATGGCCTTATCCTTGGATTACTGAGAACTGTCTGTGTTCCCTAAATCAAAATAATGGTCCAAATTAATAAAATTTTACTATTCCATTTACCTTACTGCTCTCATTAGAAAAGAGGTAACAGGCAAAAGCATAACAAATCCAGGCAACTCCATGTAAAATAGTAAGATGACATAAAAATAGTCAGCAAGTGAAAATAGAAGAAATAGATGTCTTAAAAGTTCAGACTACCTCTTCCTTCCTTTCTTTTTTTCCTTAAATTAGCAGGGGATGGGAGAGATAGGTATCTCCCCTCCATACACAGGTTATTGAGTATGATATTTATTTATAAGCAGATAATAAAAATATTTTATATTGACTATAGAAAGTTACATTGTTAAAAAACTTTAACCTTGAGACCAGCAGTTTGCATAATGGCTATATCATTGAACTCCCATGTAGTCGACCACAGTTCGAGTCCCAGACCTGGTGACTTAAATGCACACCGGGCACGCGTGCCCAAGATCCCCAGAGGAGAATGGAGGAGAAGGGATTGCGGCGTGGCCATCCCCCCTGGGGAGTGAGTTATCCCTCTCTGTCTCTGTCTTTCTGGTGAGCACACATGCCCTATAGCAAAAAACTCTTAAAACAAACAAAAATACTAACCTTTTAAAGCTTAATTTGTTTAAGTATTCAAAAAGATCTAATAAATACAAACATAAAGTACACAAATCTGTTTCCTTAGGCAGGTTATCAAGCTATAAAGAAAAATCTCTTGCAATGTGATTTTTTTTTTTTCATTTCAGGCACTTTTTAAATTTTTTTCCATTTTGTTTTTAAATCAGTAAAAGAAACTGGGTCCTAGAAGCTGCAGTGATCTAAGCAGCAGCAATTTTGTGCATTCGTCCTTTTTTTGTTTGTTTAAATGCTTTTAAATTGTCACACTGCTGGCACTTCATTTGCCTGACATTCTGCACCACACATACTAGTTGTAGTAAAGTTATTACCCCTCAGCCCGCAGGGGGAAACTACTCTGGAAGATAATTTTCACTGAAATCTAACCAAACTCCGTTAAGTGGACTGTGACGAGATTATAAATGATATGAAAAAGTAACATTTAAACATTTGGCCATCAACTTAAGAAAATGGTTTGCCTATACAATTTATTATAATTTCTATCAGGTAATATATTCTACCCTTATATGGGCAATATGATCGTTTTTTTTGCTGAGAATAAATCAATACTTCAAAAACCTTGTTTTAATACAGGGGGAAAATAACTTTAATCAACTTTTATTTTAGAGAGAATTTTTGCTGTAGGGCTCATGCACTCACCAAAGAGACAGAGAGAGACAGAGACAGAAAGTGAGAAGTCACCCCCTTAACAGGTAAGGCCACACCACAATCCTCCTCTAGTCTCCCCTCAGGATTTTGGGCATGCATGCACAAGCACCTGGCATGAGTTTTAAGCCCCCAAGGTCCGGGACTCAAACCATGGTTGACTCTGTGGGAGTCCAGCGATGTGATCATTATGTCATCTGCTGGTTCCACTTTAATCAACTTTTAGGAAAACTCATAATACTTTCTTCAAATTTTAACCAATTATCATATACAAAATCCTTTTTATAAAATTACCTTATTGGGGCCAACAGGTGGTGTGGTGGTTAAGAGTGCTGGCCTCCCACATGGCTAACTATGGTTCAAGTCCTGGACCCGGTGGCTTTCTTTCTCGCTTTCTCTCTCTCTTTCTCTCTCATTCTTACTCTGTCCCTCTCTGGTCAAATTAAAAAATAAATTAAACAAAATAATTATTTTTAAAAATTATCAATTTTTGCAACACTCTCAACTCTTTTTGAATATAAGTTAAGCCTTAATCTAACATGTTTTAGACTTAGTATTTGTCCCTTTTTCTTTCTATAATGCAGTCCTTGTACTTTAGCATGAATATTTTACCAGAGAGGAGGTGTCTTTGACAGGGTTTCACCACTTCATGATCTCCCTTCCTAGCCTCTGAGTCAGCTAGCACCACGAGTGCCTGGCCTGTCTAGGTTAGGCCAGGAGCTCAGGCAGCCTCAGCCACCACACTGGGGTCCTCTTTTCTGTATTTAGTTCAGTCATCAAGGGAATACTTTATTCGCAAATATACAAATAGGAGATTTTTGTCCTTTTTTCAGCAGACTTAGGAAAGTATCTATTCAATGTTATGTTAATTACTTAAGCTTTTTTTTTTTTAAATCTCCATTTTCCTCTCGGGATCTTGGGCACACACGCACAAGCGCCCGGCATGAGTTTAAGACACCGGGTCTGGGACTCGAACCACGGTCGACTACATGGGAGCTCAGTGACATAGCCATTATGCTAACTGCTGGTCCCGAATTACTTAAGCTTTTATTTGGGCCTCAACATGAATTTTATTTTATTTTATTATTTATTTTCAACATGAATTTTAAATAGAAGCCCTTTTCAAAGTATATGTATAATAATTTAAATGTCTCACTCAAGTATCTGTTTCTCTTTGAACTCTACTGTCAACCTTTACCTTATTGTGTGAAATTCCAGCGGAACACTGAAAACTGGTCTGCCTCTCTATGGCTGCTCTCATCTCCTCCACAATCACTGCTCCCACAGTGAGCTGCAGGTCTGGAGAAGTGCTGTTCACAAGCGCAAGAGAATCGAGCCATTGAAATAAGCCTTTTTTCCGCATCTCCTCTGAAAAAAGTTGAGAGGTCACAGTTAGACATTTAAAAAATTTATTTAATTGTGCTAATTAGAAATGCTTAGGTTTCAGATACTTCAGATATTTCGGTTTACACACGCACACACGACAGCTGGTTTAGAAGACTAATTACTAGAGAGAGCAACTTCTCCGTCATACCTAACCCAGCAGCCTCAGCTTCAGTAATGGCCGAAGCTTACAGTGCTAATGGGCTATACATACTTTTTATTCATATCATCCTTTGTGAGCAATGGTTTAAAAGAACCTTTTCTCTCCCCACTTCCCATGAACTTCCTTCTTCCACTTTGCTTTGAACATCTTCAAGAATTCTGTGATGTTATTCAATTAGAAAATATTCATAATTGGGGCCACACAAGGTGGCGTAGCGGTTAAGAGCTCTGGACTCCCACATGGCTGACTGCAGTTCAAGTCCTGGACCTGGCGACTTGCTTTCTCACCTGGCAACTTGCTTTCTCACTTTTCCTCTCTGTCTCACTCTGTTCCTCTCTAGTCAAATTAAAAACAAACAAATACATAAATCTTTAAAAAAAAGAAAAATATTCAGAATTAACTCAAGGTTCAATATAAACTTAAAATAGTGTTTACATGTATTTGAGAGGCTGGTTCCAGTTGAGAAGCTTAAAATCCAATCAGAAGCACAAGTAGATTTATTCTCCTGACAAGCTACTTTAAGTGAGATATGGCTTTGGACCAGGATCTTCAAAATATATTACTATCCAATTTAGAACTATTCACAATTCACAGTTGTGGTAAGACCTAAAAACATGTTATACAGCAAGGAAGTCATAGGAAATAAAGATACACTGGTAATAAGGTATGAATAAGGCAAAAAAAATTAAAGTATCTAGAATAACCACAGAGAAAGAAATATCTTCCCCCAATTGATAACCGTCTCTTCTCTGCTGGACTGTCTGTCTCTAACACGCTAACCATGAGTACTGAGCAACTCTTCTCCATATACATGCTTCTCTTGCTGCACTGGTACTGTCTCATATTCAATTTACTTACACTGAGTACGTGCAAATTCTTATATTTTTACTTAAAAAAATTTTTAAATTATTTTGGAGAGGTTTTTGCTATAGGGCATGAGCGCTTACCAGAAAGACAGAGACAGACAGACAGACAGAAAGGGAGAAATCATCCCGCAGGGAGGATGGCCATACCGCATCCATGGCCTTCTCCTCCATTTTCCTCTCAGGATCTTGAGCATGCACACACACATGCATGATGTGGTTTAAGCCACTGGGTCCAGGACTCGAACCATGGTCGACTACATGAGAGTCCAGTGACATAGCCATTACGCCAACGGCTAGTCCTCAAATTTATTTATTTATTTTTATTTTTAACAATTTTTCATTCATGCTATCTATCTATCTATCTATTTATGGCGAAATTTTTGCTATCGGGTACGTGCTCTTGCCCAAAAGACAGAGAGAGACAGAGAGACAGAAAGTGAGAAATCAGTCCCCAGAGAGAATGGCCACACCATAATCCCTTTTCCTCCATTCTCCTCTTGGGATCTTGGGCACACACGCACACGTATCTGGCCTGAGTTCAAGACCCTGGGCCCAGGACTTGAACCACAGTTGACTACATGGGAGTCCAGTGACATAGCCATTATGCCAACTGTTGGTCCCAGGTCCCCAAATTTTTAAATCTCTAGTCCCAAACTTAAGCTCTCTTTAATTACCAAAGACTGCATGCACTCATCAGAGAGACAGACAGACAGACTGAGAGAGGGAGAAAATACCCCCTAACAAGGTATGGTCACGCAGCAATCCCTTCTGTTTCTTCATCCTATTGATATATAAGGCATGGATACATGCACTCAGTGTTTTTTTTTTTAGTTACCAGGGCTGGGACTCAAACCATGGTTGGCCATGTGTGATGGGACCTCCTTAACCACTAGACTATGGGGCCAGCCCCTAATCTATGTATCCATACATATGATAGAGCACATGTAATGCATGTTGGGTGGAGGAAAACATGCACTCCCCAGTGGGGCCTGGTCAAGCTGCAAATTCTTCCTCCTCGACTTCTCCAGTTCATTAGGATCCTGGATACATGTATGCAGACTAGCATGTGCCACTTGGGCATGATTAGAACCCCAGTTGGCCATGTGGATCCCGCTTCCTCTGCGCAGCATGTAACTGCCATGCTCCATACCGAATCACTGTTTTTGAATTTTTCATCTTTTAGTATCCACATAATGTGCAGAACCAGTTCCAGTTGTGAGGTATGGCTGTTTCAAAGGGCTTTTGTATCTCCTTAAAGCTAAATGCAAAATTTTCATATGTGTAGATATGCATTTTCCCAAGGCAAGCAAGAATCCACATCTTTCAATATATGTTCAAACATGTATATAATTCTCAAAAAACCTTAAGGAAGCACTGACTTAAAAAAAGTATAAGGCATTATAAAACCAATTTCAGAGGGTGATCTCTATCTTCTTTCTGTCTTTGTCTCTCCCCCTTTCCCTCGAAATTATTCTCTTATATAAATATGTTTTTAAAAAAAATCTGTAGATACTGTCCCTTGTCTCTGACCTCTCCTTTCTCTTGCTAATTTCAGAATCCATGTGCATCTGAGGTGGGCCTGGACCTGCCCCTTTAGCTAGAAAAAGCCTCTACTCCAACCCCTCCTGCCAGCCCAACACCCAGCAAAAAACCAGTGCAGGTTGCTTGGTGAAGATCAGGGAAATGAAACTGCAGAAAAATTGCAGGGCATATCCTTCCACATGCACCTAACACTCAGAATTAACTCCAAGAAGGTAGGAAGTAACATGTAATCCATCATATAACCAGAAACCACCACCACAGAGGCACAATATGAGAAATCAAGAAAATATCTCTCACCCAAGGGGAAAGAACAGCCCTTCATCATCCACAGACAGTACAACAGAACTTGTGGAAATGTAAGATAAAGAATTTGGGATATTCATAGTGACAAAGCTAACAGAGATGTAAGATAAGAGAGACAATGAACTCCAAAAAATGCAGGAGAAAACAGACAGGTTCCAGGAGGTGAGGAAGTTCTTCCATGATATGAAAGAAGAAATACACACCATAAAAAAAGAATCAAATGGTGCTCGCTTTGGCAGCACATATACTAAAATTGGAACGATACAGAGAAGATTAGCATGGCCCCTGCGCAAGGATGACACGCAAATTCGTGAAGCGTTCCATATTTTTAGCAGCAGCAGC